ATGACATGTGCCCAAGGTGGTCAGAGCACAGCTTGGTTTTATACATTTTAAGGAGACATGAGACATCAATCATCATATGTAAGATAAACATTAGTCCAGTCCAGAAAGGCAGGACAACTTGAGGCAGGAAGGGGACTTCTAGGTCAAAGGCAGATAAGATTCAAATGGGTACATTCTTTTGAGTGTCTGATTAGCCTCTCCAAAGGAGACAATCAGATATGCATTTATCTCAGTGAGCAGAGGGGTGACTTTGAATAGAATGGGAGGCAAGTTTGCCCTAAGCACTTCCCAGCTTGACTTTTCCCTTTCACTTAGTGGTTTTGGGGCCCCAAGATTTATTTTCCTTTCACATTTTCCCTATTTTGTTTTTTAAAATCTCTTAGAGAAAACATTTTAGAACATAATCTCTGACCTAAGAACTCCGGTCTTAGGTCTCGTCTGATGTCTCATGGCTAAGATAGTCCTGAATTGTTAGGAAAGCTCATTTTTAGCAGGGTGTAAAGTCTCATGTCCTATGAAGAGAAAACAGGGGGAGGAAGGGAGAAAAACAACACAAATAAAAGAACAATCCTGGAAAACTGATATTAGGTCACATTGCTCTGAAGTCTATACATCAGTAGGCAGGCATGAAAGTGGCCTATGTATTTAAATAGGTTGCTGTTATTTTCTTTTGAAGATTAAGTTGTTTAGCTTCAGTATGCAGAGCTTTACAAAAGCACAGCTTAGTTTTCAGTCACTCCAAATTAGGAAAAATGGGGGAAAAAAGAAGGGAAAAAAAATGAAAGCATTGTTTTAAAGACTTGTAGCCAAGAAAAATTAGAATTCAGTCCAAACTGTGGAAAATAATAAAAATTGAAAAACATTAGGCAAGGCTAGAGTCTAACAACAGAGGTACTATAATTTTTGAAACATAATTTTTCTCTCTCCAATGTCCCATTTTTACTAAAGACAAAGCATGGTAGGATTGATTTGCTTTATTATACTTGGACTAATTATTCATACAGTGCAGCAAGAATAATTATTTTATTACATAGGCTTTTAAAGTGGTTTCGATGGAACTTTATTCCATAGAAGGAATCTCAGATAAGACCTTTTAAAAGCCAAGCCCAGCCATGGATTTATATTATCAAATACCTATGGGTTTTGTGAATTCCTCTCCTCTTGAGGTTCCAAGATAAAGTTGGGGCTGCTGGGCCTGTCAGAAAGTGACATTCTTTACTTACCACAGGTCAGAAACCCTGTACAGGCACTGGTATGATGCCAGTTTTCCCAAGGGGCTCCATAAGTCAAGTTTGATTCCTTAAAAGAAAGCACACCATTTCAGTCAAAGCCTTAGTAAAACAACCAGTTTCTCCAATTGTGTCTTGTTACAAATGAAAACAGATTCTTATTGCACTTATGTAAATAACTATATTGCCAAAAGTTAAGAATACTTACAAATAGTTTCCAATTCTGGAGAAATCAGGTAGAGAGAAAAAATGTGCTCCAAGTTTTGTTCATAGGTGTACACTAAATTGTTAAAAGCTGTCAATAGCTCAAAAGAAAAGTTTCTTTGACTCTGAAAAACAAAAAGGATCAGCAATGTTTTACACAAAAAGTTAAGATTATTGCAGTCTTCTATTAGTTCAGTTCATACAATTAATTCCTATTCTGCTTGATATTTATGAACATTTCAGCTCTCCATGAGTCCTGAAAGTTTTTCCTCTATTCTGATGCCACAGCTTCTAAAGGTATCAGAAACCTGCATTCAAGAGCACCTGCTAGAGTTTTACACTGATTTAAAAACATCTGCCAAAGAGGATCAAGACAAAACAAAAATTGACCATGGATGACAAAAAGATTTAGGGCAGCCACAGTTAAAGACAAAATTGACAAGAAAATGTGTGACCTCTGTGGCAGACAATAATTTAACACCAATTACAATTATTACTGATAATGTACACTAAATAATATCAGAGTTATAAGAGTTTCCCATAATTTCAGAACACATACCAATAACATATTTATACAAATACAGCCCAAAGACAGCCAAACACCATCTCATATCTGACAATGCTTCCTATATAATTTTTATAATGAATAAGCTCAACTATGTCATTTTTGGACTTAGGGAATCTAATATCTTAAAGGATTAATTAGGTCAGAAAAGATATAATTTATAATTTGATTTTGGAAAGTTTGTCAAATATCAATGTTTTAACACTTGATATCACAAAATAGGATCACAGGTCATTATAAAATAAGTCATTCATTTGACCACAGTGATAAGGATTTCAAAAAAGGCAGAAATCTTCATTATTTGAGAGAGACTTAATTTTCTAAACAATAAACCCTAATCAAAACAGCATGAAGCCAATTACATTTGTTTTTCAAATTTCTATAAACAATTTTAATGTTGGCCATAAGCTGTAACTTCTATAAGCCTTTTATAACGTTTAAAACTTTTATTAAGGAGTTGGTTAATGCTTGAAGAAAACCTTGTTAATCTGACACAGGAGCCTATATGCTGGTCTTGCATCAGTGTGTCTTTGACATTAATTATTAATTTACAGAGAAACTGAATTTATTTTCACTCTCAAAATTGGCCCTTATAATCTCACATGCCCACCCCTTTTGCAAATAGTCCCTGGGCATTGAGGAGTGGAACAGCTTTAATTTCTGGCCCTGTGTCTCGAGAATTCAGTTTATTTTGATTGAAATCTTCTACCAGGCCTGAAGACGAGGCTTTAGTTATTGTCAGTGTTTAACATTTAGCAGGACTTGGTGTCCTTTTTAGACCCAGGAGTCAAAGCCCTGTAACTCAAAGTCACAATGAATTTAAAAGCACATATAGAGAGATACATGGATATAACAACATTAAAAAAAATTAATCTCAGTTTTTTCAAAGCAAACCAAAACTTAATAATAAAGGCATATGAATTGTTTCAATAAAATATAAAATCTGTTAGGCCAGTTACCAAAAGGCAAAAAAAAAAGGTCTTCTGCACTGTACAGAATATTATACTGGATAAAAACATTTCCTTTACACTTTTAAGAAAACATTATTAGTATCAGGCCACAACAAACAGAACCCACGACAATCCTTTTTTAAAATTAATTTTTTGCTAGGGATTTCCCTGTAGGGCTGCTGCAAATCCCTTTGGAGCTGAAAAAACTCAGTCTCTCATTTACCTATGGAAAAAGCAGTTCAGTTCATCACACAAATACACAAAGACAAGCTGAATCAAGATTAATTTTGAGAGAAAAAGCAATAGAGAAGATCCTTTAGAATGCATCTCCAAACTAGAATTAGGATCCTTAAACAACAACTTCCTAGGAAAAGGGAAATAACAGCCAAGATCACTTCCTGTACACTGTGCTCAGCCACCCCTAATTTTGTAGCTCTCATCCACCATTACACACACCAAGGTCAAATCCTCTCAGAGTATAAGGTCATCTCTGGTACTCCCAAAGCCAAAGCAGTCAGATCATGCAATACAGGAAAACAGAGCTTTAGACCTAAGAAGAATCTGCCCATGACTCTTGAAACCCTACAAAGACAAGAGAACACCCCAGAAGGGGGTGAGTGGCACCTTAGTTCTAAATTATTTAAAGGGGTTCAAGTCATTAGAAGCCTTCTCTAGATTTTTTGGTACAGCAGATGGCAAGGGAGTAAGAGGTATAGGGTGGAAGAAAAGTAAATGAAAGAACATTTTTTTTTTTCAAGTCAGGAAGCAAACACAGAAACCAAGTGCACAGTTGGCTTTGTTTTTGTTTTTTCCTCTTTTGCAGCTGTGAGGGATTTTACATAAATTAGAGAGATCTTCTTACCCATAATTTGGAATTCTCACTCGGATTTGAGCAAATCGGGTAGAGTTAGTCAAATCTGATGGGAGAAACACCAGAACAAACAACAACAATAAAAAACTCAACAATATGATCACTGAGCACTCTAATGGGAAGGAGAAATTAAAACCAGCTTGTTAACTTTAGCCAAATCAAAACCCCATTTCAGTTACTTACCTAGGGATGGGTTTCAGGATGAAGACTGCTCTCTACCATCCTAAAAGCAGGAAAAAATTCAAACCCATCTTCCCTGTTGGGAGCGAGCTCAGACTCCATAAAGGAATTACCTGCCTTCCATTGTCATGGAAACAGGAAATCTTGCCTTCCCTGTTGGAAGCAAGTAAAACTCCAGAAAAGGGAAGCGTACAGCAAAATAAACTTTAGATTTTGACCAGATTTTGGGAGATCAGGGATTCTCTGGAGGAGGTGCTCCCAGACCTCAGCAAATTGTCCTTTTGGTTTGAGCCATACAGTTAGCTCACATTGGTACTAAGCATCAATAAGAGATTTGTCAAAGTCAGGGGTACCTCCAACTCAAAATCCCTTCATGATTGCGAAATGTGAACCCCAAATATACGAAACAGGTCCTAGTTAATTTAGAAAGTTTATTTTGCCAAGGTTGAGGATGTGCCTGTGACACAGCCTCAGGCAGTCCTGACGACATGTGTCCAACTTGGTCTGAGCATAGCTTGGTTTTATACATTTTAGAGAGACATGTGACATCAATCAACATATGTAAGACAAGCATTAGTTCAGTTTGAAGGTTGGGAAAACTGGAAGCATGGGAGGGGGCTTCCAGGTCATAGGTAGATAAGAGAAAAATGGTTGCATTCTTTTGAGTTTCTGATTAGCCTCTCCAAAGGAGGCAATGAGATATGCATTCATCTCAGTGAGCAGAGGAGTGACTTGGAATAGAATGGGAGGCAGGTTTGACCTAAGCAATTCCCAGCTTGACCTTTTCCTTTAGCTTAGGGACTTTGGGGCCCCTTTATTTTCCTTTCACAATATAAAGTGAATCTGAACCTTTAAATCACTTACTTTGAATATTCTCTCAAAGTCTGGATATTTTTCTACACTAGGGAACACAGACACAATCTATCAAATGCTGACAGCAAATGAATGTTGTGATGCTAAGAGAGGAGGTAGAGAGGGAGAAAAAAAATTCCGGACTTAAATTTTTTCTTTCAACTTTATCCACAGTTTGCATTGGTAATATACATTTAAGTGTTCCATTTATTTTTAAATGCATCAGAAAATGAATTATGATAGATCTGTGACCAATACAAACATTTCTGAAGTATTAAAAAAATTCAGTTAAAAAAGTCATTAAACTAGCATTCTGCAAAGATAATTATTAAACAAATGGTAATGCCTTTTTCCTCCTTATTTCATTTCTAACATACCCAATGTCACTTCTTTCTTGTGCCATACAGTAATAAAATTTAACAGAAATAGCTATCTATTAAATTTTGGGGGCCTAATAAAATATTTTTGATTATTCAATTGTCACTAAATCACAAATCCCATTTAAGTAATGAAAATCATCTTAACTCAACAACTGATGAAATAGATAATAACCATAAAAACATTTAGAATAAATTTTACACTTAGAAACTACTAAAAGAAATACATCAGAGCCTTGGTATAATGTTGCAGGGGACTATGCTGTGAAACTGCTTTAAGAGGTGGTGTTGCCATTTGGCACAAGAGTACATGAACTGCCATGATGTGGACCTCAGATAAGTCCATCTTAAATGGAATTTTGCTTTGCAGTAAAGAATGCTACAGTGAGGTTCTGCTGTATTTTCTTTTCAAAGGAACAATTAACTGACAAGTGAAAAGCAGTAAGAAAATGGCCTACAATTTCACTACTACTTCAAAGATATGAAACAGGACAACGCTTGTAAAATAATTTAACACTATACTGGTTAATCAGAGACTATCATAACACCTATGAAAGCAGTATGAATGATTCCTGTGTTTTTAATGGTCACTTAATTTGTAATGCTGTCAAATTTTTACATAAAAAGTCATTAACTAAGGTATTTATTTGCCATTTCTTACATATATTATCCAAGTTTTCACCAGGGAGATTATGTCAGTGAGTTTTTTTTTTTTTATCCACCTGAAAAATTAACAAATAATCAGCTCAAATATTTAAAATAATAAATTACTAATAATTTAATTATTAAACCATATGGTCAGAGAAGCTTTAATTCTTTAAAAGCTCCAATTTGACCCTTGGGGAATGTAAAAAACACATCTGTATTCTAAAGCCAAAATTTAATTGTATGGCTTCATGCCAACTGATCAAAAAAAGTACAGTTGATCCTATACTATTTGGCACACTAGTTTTTACCTTTTATATATACACTTTGAAATACCCAGGCCAACATTTTTAATAAGTTGCATCCACATTAAGAGGTAACAAGTGCAAATGATCACATACTTGAGCTATGATGCTTGTTTGGTTACTATAAAAGTAATTATTAAAGTTCTTCTATAGGAAACTCAGTTATTCATTACAGTAATGTTTTTGAAAGATTCCTGCAATACCACCAATGTAAATTTACCCATCTCTAAGTTAAACAAGGACTTTATGTAACATAGTATCTCATGAAAATATTTATAGAATGATCTGTGTTTAATTCAACATCAAAGTAATTGAAGATCACAAAGTTTACAGGATTCACAAATGGCCAGATTTTGAGTAAAAACATATTCCTCAACTGCTGCTCTCTGAATATAGCTAAAGACATCACTGATATAATGCTGCTGAAAGGCAAGATATAAACCAAAACTTTGGCAGTTTTATAAAAATGTCCTTGATAATGAGTACTTCACTTTTTCTCAAAAACGTTACTGTTTTGTGTAACATTTTCAATACAGAAATAACATACTCTTCAAATAATACATTTTAAAAGATGATTAAGTTTCACAAAATTAAATAGCATAAATTAATCATATTAACATTGGTATTTTTGACAACATGAAATAACCAATTTAAGAGAAATTGCAATGGACTAACTAAAAACACAAATGTCACAATGTGAGGTTCATTTAAATCCTCACATATTACTGACCTTACAAAATCTACTAAAATATTTTAAAGTTCCATTGACTCTATTAATACATTTAAAAAATTGCAAAAATGCTTAAGACTATATAAGAGTCATCAATTACACAGGCACTTCACATGTAAACAATCTACAGTACAACTGAAAATATTTTGGCACCAACCTATAATACTAAAAGAATTTAATGTAAAGCCAGAATTGTTTTTTCTACACCTTTTTTTTCTAGAAAACTAAGACCAAAGATTGAAGAAATTGTGTATAAACTAGAATTAGAAGTGTATTAAATAACTCAAATATAGAATTGCTCTAAATTGCTAAAAAACAATTACCTTTATCCAGATGCTTACTACTATGCTATGATGTAAAAAAATTAAACCTAATGTGATTATTAAATTGAAACTACATTTTAAATTTAGTATCAGTCTGCTTTCTGAAAAATAATCGAGGTTATCAACTGACTTAGTAAAAAGAGAATTTGAGTTTATCAAATGCTCTTATTAAATTAATCCAGTTTTCCCCCAAAAGAAGTTTGGGCAATTCAGGGTTTAAGGTTTCAATGTAATTTTTTCAAAATCCTAAGGCGTGACCTAAGGCAAACTATTTTTGACTGAATATTCTTATTCATGAATTTGAAATATTTGAAATCACTTCAAATAAATGAAACTATACAGTTACGATTTTAAAATGTTATATCAAGCCAAAGAAAGCTGAGATGCCTTGGTTGTTGGTAATTCAAGGAGCGCCTGAACTGTGACACCAACTTTCACAAGTCCTCTTTCTTCCAAAATATGATGAGGCAAACAAAGTCTTTCCTGGAGAAAAAAAAAAAAAAGATATTTGAACATTCATTTTTTAGAAGTAAAGTAAAATTAAGTCAGAATTGGATTTTAAAAACATGATTTCTGTAAAACATCAAGGAAAAATACATAATTCTAAGTTATCTTTTACACATACTGTAATCTAAAATGTTTTTAAAATTCCTAATTCATGCTAAAAAAAAAGATTATATGGCCTTGTTAGAAATGCTGTCATTCTACACTTGTACCTCTTTCTCTACAAAGAAAATGTCAATAAAAGAGTTGCTCACCACTTTTGCATTTCCCATTCTCTACTCAACCACTACTATCTTACATCTGACCCTAAAGCATATGCTCACTAAAACTATTTTAGTAAAAATCACCAATGTCATCTTAAATGCCAAGTGTTGCACATGTCTAGTTGACTTCTCAGTCGTATTATGCCTTTGATTAATGCCTTTCTGGAAACCTTAACCCTCTCTTGTCTTCTGTAACACCACTCTTTCTACTTCAACTTTTCTGACAGCAATTGTTCAGTAGCTTTCATTAATTAGCCCTCACTAATCCTCTTTGAACATCCTAAATGTTTCCAAGGGTCTGCCTTCACTCTCTTCTCTCTTTACACTATATCTTCTCCTTGGGTATTCTCATCTATTTTTAGTTTTAACTACCCCTTCCATACTGATGACTTCCAAGACTTTATTTCCTCTGAAGATCCCTCTATTGAGCTCCAAATAAAAATATCAACTGGACACAGCCAAATGGACATCCAACAGACATATTAAAATCAATGTGTCCACAACAGAACTACTTTACCAAATTAACTTGTCCTTTTGTGCTCCATGTCTTAAGTCAGTAATACACTATTCAATCTCCATTGACAAACCTGTGAATTATAATAGTCTTCCTCTTTCTTCCTTACTCCTATAACCCATTCTCCAAGTACTACTGATGGTATCCCATAAAGAGTTATCTGAACTATTGCCTCATCTCCATCTTTACTGCTACATTTGTTGCCCTCTTAATATTTTGTCTATTTATTCAAATAACTACTGAAGTGTATACTAGAAAAGAAGAAAGGATTCAAATCAATTTCAGCTTCCACCCTAAAAACTAAAAAAAGAAGAGCAAATTAAACCAATGGCAAAAGAAAGATGCAAATAATGAGAATGAGAGAGGAAAACAATAAAGTAAAAAAACAGAAAACGATAGATAGAAAAATCAATGGAACCAAAAGTTAGTTCATTTAGATTTTTTAAAATTCATAAACCTCCAGCTAGGCTAATCAGGAAAAAAAGAGAGAATACACAAATTACCAATGTCATAAATAAGGGAAGTGACACCACAAGATATTCCACGAATACGAAAATGATAATAAGGAGACATCATAAACAACTTCATAACAATAGTTTGACAAGTTAGATGAAATGGATGAATTCTTTGAAAGAACAATGACATGATTCTGTAGAGTGAAACTCCTAAGGCATACAAACACACACACACACAAAAACTGCTAACTAATAAATGGGCTGGGCACAGTGGCTCACGCCTGTAATCCCAGCACTTTGGGAGGCCAAGGTAGGCAGATCATGAGGTCAGGAGATCGAGACCGTACTGGCCAATATGGTGAAATCCCATCTCAACTAAAAATACAAAAATTATCTGGCCGTGGTGGCACGTGCCTGTAATCCCAGCTACTTGGGAGGCTGAGGCAGGAAAATAGCTTGAACCAGGGAGTTGGAGGTTGCAGTAAGCTGAGATCATGCCACTGCACTCCGGCCTGGCAACAGAGTAAGACTCTGTCTCCAAAAAGAAAAAAAAGTAGTGGAAGAATGTCCAAAAAAGCTTTGTTCAAATGTCCCCAAATTGGATATAACACAGATGTTCATCAACAGAGNTTATAAATGAATTCTGCAAGGCTGCAGAATACAGGATCAATAAAAGAAAATAACTTCTATTTCTATAAAGTAGCAATAAAAATTTGACAGTGGAATTAAGGAAAAAATTATGTTTACAATAGTACCAAAGAGAATAAAATACTAAGCATTTAACAAAACTAATGAAAAACTCATACACTGAATATTACAAAACACTGTTGGAATAAAATTTAGAAGATGTAAATAAATGGAAAGATGTCTCATGTTAATGGATCACAGGAATAAATATTGTGAAGATGACAATACATCCCAAATCATTTTACAAACTCAGTATCCCTAACAAAATCCCAACGGGCTTTTCTGCATAAATTGACAAGCTAATCAATCCTAAAATTGATAAGGAAATGCAAGGGACCCAGTATAGCCAAAACAACCTTGATACAGAACAAAACCGGAAGACTCACACTTCTTGATTTCAAAATGCATCACAAAGGTACAGTAAGCAAGACAGTGTGATACTGGAATAAGGAATTTGGTGGTAAAAAAAAAACTGAGAGTCCAAAAACAAAGAATTTATGATCAACTGATTTTTGACAAAGGAACTAAGACAGACAATTCAATGGGGAAAAGAAGAGTCTTACCAACAAATGGTGCTGGGACAACTGGATATCCACATGTGAAAGAATGAATTTGGATCCCTACCTCATACCATGCACAAAGCTGATCTCAAAATGAATCACAGACAAAAATGTAAGCCCTAAAACTTATAAAACTTTTAGAAGAAAACACAGGTGAAAATCTTTGTGACCTTGAATTTCACAATGTTTTCTTAGATATGATATGAAAATCATAAGCAGCAGAAGAAAAAATGAGATAAACTAGACTTCATCAAATTAATAACTTTTGTGCTGTAAATGATACGATCAAGAAAGTCAAAAGACAACCCACAGAATGGGAGAAAATATTTGCAAATCGTATATCTCATAGGCAACTCGTATCTAGAATACCTAAAGAACCAACAACTCAATAAAACAGATAAATAATCCAATTCACAAATGGAGACAGGGTTTGAATAGACATTATACCAAAGAATATATACAAATCAATAAGCACATGAAAATATGCTCAACCTGCTCAACCTCATTAACTATTAGGGAAATGCAAATCAAAACTGCAATAAGATCACACCACACACCCACTAAAATAGCTAGAACCAAAAAAGGTAGAGAGTAACCACTGTTAGTGATGATGTGAAGAAATTAGAACACTCATATATTGCTGGTGGAACTATAAAATTAGTGTAGCCACTTTGCAACATATTTTGGCAGTTTCTTAAAAAATATTATAAACATAGAGTTATCATATAACCTAACAATTTCACTGCTAGTTATACACCAAGAGAATTTAAAACAGGTGTTCAAAGAAAAGCTTATTCATAGATGTTCACAGCAACATTATTCATAACAAACAATGAGTGGAAACAACCCAAATGTCTATCAAGTGATGAATGCATAAATAACATGTGGTATGTATTTAAAACAGAACACTATTCAGCCATAAAAATAAATGAAGTATTGATTTAGGCCACGATATGGATGAACCTTGGAAAAATTATACTAAGTCAAAGAAGCCAGACACTAAAGATCCCATATTGCATGATTTTATTATATGTAACGTCCGAATAGGCAAATCCATAGAGAGAACAGGGGAGGGACTGCAAATGGGTAAGGGCTTTGTTTCTGGGGTGACAAAAGTATTCTAAACAGACTGTTGTGACTGTTGCTGAGTTCTGTGATTATACTAAAAACCATTTAATTGTACACTTTAAATCAGCAAATGCTATGGCATTTTAATTACATATCAATAAAAATATTTTCTTAAAAAAAAATCAATGTATATGCCCAATCCCAGGCTTAAAAAAAGAGGACTTCAATCCATACATTTTACCATATACAAAAACTAACTCAAAATTGATCATAGACATGAACATAAAACCTAAGATAATAAAACTTATAGAAGTAAACACAGGAGAAAATCTTTGTGGCGTTGGGTTATGTAAAGATTTCCTAGCTTTGAAAAAAAAAGCACAACCCGTTTTAAAAAATAAATTGTACTTCAAAAACTTTGAAGCTCCTGCTCTTTGAAAGACACTCTAAGGACAATGAAAAGACAAACCAAAGATTTGGATGCAATATTTATAAATCACAGATCTGGTAAAGGACTTCATCCATAATTTATAAAGAAATCTGAAACACAATCATAGGAAAATAAATAACCAAATACAAAATAGACAATAGATTAGAATATGTACTTCAAAAAAGAAGATATACAGATAGTAAATAAGCCCTTGAAAAGGTGATCAGCATCATTAGTCTTTAGGAAAATTCAAATTAAGACTGCATTGGCAAGTTGGTACATATGCATCACAATGACTAAAATTTTTAAATGCTGATCATACTGAATGTTAGTGAGGATGTGGAGCTACTGGAACTCTCACATACTGCTGACAGGAATGTAAAATGGTACAACCACTTTGGAAGAGTTTTGTATTTTCTTTAAAATGTTAAGCATGCACCTACCATATGTTCCAGTTATTCCACTTTAGGTATTTACCAAAAATTAAAGAATGCATAAATCCATACAAAGACTTGTATACAAATGTTCATAGCAGCTTTATTTGTAGTAGGCCCTAAAACTGGAAACAACCCAAATGGCCATCAGCAGGTCAAGGGGTCAACAAAGTGTGATATATCCATACAATTAAATACTATCTAGAAATAAACAGCAATGGTCTATTCATATATGCAACAACACTGATGAGTCTTAATTATACTGAGTGAAAGAACATAGAAAAATATCATAGATATTGCATCATTCCAATTACATAAAACTCTAGAAAGTGCAAACTAATCTGCAGTGACAGGAAACAGATTAGTGGTTGCCGGAGAGGGAAGGATTACAAAGACCCATGAGGAAACTTTTGGCAGCAGTAGACATGTTCATTATTTTGACTGTGGTGATGATTTCATGGTGTATGCATATGTCAAAACCAATCAAATTGTACACTTTACTTATATGCACTACATTGTGTGTTAAAAATTAGAAAACATCCTAAAACAGAAAATTCAGTTAAAAATGATTATATATTACCATTTCTGAGCTCAGAGAAAAACACTGAAGCTAAAAATAAAACTCTTAAAACAAAAGTGGCATAAAATTAGTGAGGTGGTGAATGCTTGTAATTCCAGTTATTCATGAAGTGGAAGTGGAAGGACTGCTGGAGCTCAGGAGTTCCAGTCCAGCCTGGGTAACACAGTGAGACTCCATCTCTAAAAAAAAAGGTTTCTTTAATTTTAAAAAAGAAAAAATGGCAAAACAGGAAAATTTACATAATATAATGGCTGGAAAAAACGTTGCTAAGTTTGCTATTTACCCACTGAAAGATTGAGAGTAGAAAAAAGAAACAACAAACATTTTTAAGAATTAAAATTTTAAAACATCACATCAAGTATAGTGAAGAGGTAGAGAACATTATGTAATTTCCAAATTACATAGTAATTCATTAATTTTCTACACATTAAATTATATTTACTTGAGGAAAGAGGTTAAAGTGGTATCTGTAGACGAGATTATTAAGACACTGTTCAAAAGACGGCTTAACAAGCACAACTTAATTGTGCTCTGATAACAATGTCATTTCTCTCCATAGTCATTCATGTTGAGGTTAGGTTTATAACGCTTTACAAAGAAGCAGTATTGTGATTATACATGTTCTTTATATATTCACAATACTGCTTTAATAACTGTATAGTATTGTAGTTATTACATGAAACGTAAGCCAATTCCTACAAATTTCAAAGCTTGTCCAATACAGATATTATCATAATATGCTGCTATAATTTCCAATTTTGCATTTTAAATGAAGTTTAAAAGGCTGTTCACACTGAATTCAAATCTTCCAGAGTCTATCCAATGACTTACAAAGGAGTCCAAATGTTCACCAGCAAAAAAAAAAAAAAGATAAAAAGATAGTAGCAATGACATCACAACCAAGTTCTAAATATGGCCACTGAGTTATATGTGGTCAGTGATGCGCATGATTTTCCATATTTGTAGCTATTTTGTAAGTTACTTTAAAGGCAGCTTAAAAACATTAATTAGATAACTGCTACAGTTAAAGCTGGAGCTTAGGAGAAGGTACCAAGAGAAGGCATTCATTTTCATGTTCAGAAAGCATTGTTCGTTGCTCTAAGAAGAGCCCCAGTTTGCATATAATAAATTCATATTTAAGTGACTACTTTGTTAGATAAACAACAATTACCTGTGAGACACCCAACTTTTTACAAGCATCAAGGAAATTTTCTACATTTCTTCGACATTTTGCCATGCTCAGTTTGGGCTGTAAAGTAAGAGGGAAAACATGTACCTTTAGGCATTTTTTTATAGAACTTAATCAAAACTGAAAGCTAAGTTCACTGAGGTATATTATTAAAAGACAATTTTAAGAAGCTATATATTCCTTTAGAGAGCTAACAAACTGCAAACAAAACTTACCACTGCTGGTGATGGTACATGAATACTAGCAACAGAACGTGGCCTTATATGATTGGCTAAATGGCAAAGAACAACCCCATCCATCAGTGCAGCTCCAATGTCATCAGGCAAAATTACTTTTAACCTGGATTCAAGATTCTATAGAGAAACAGGTGTAAATCAGATATTCTATCTAAATATACATGTTACGTTTATATTACTAATTGTTGTATAATCCAAACATTTTAAGGAGTAGTGAAAATAAAATCCATACACCTTATTAATTTTGCAAGTTAAACCCATTTCCATAAAGCAGATCAGACAGGTCAATCTGACTTACATTTCGAAGTTGTCGTATTTGCTCTCGCTCTTCCCGTAAATGTTCCATCTTTCTTCTCATTGTAAATCCCGGATCTGCTGCCCCATATTCTTGGCGAGATGAACGGCTAAAAGCTATAAAAACAGAAATTTCCTAACTTGTTACAAAGTTAATGGGAAAGAGCAACTATTGATGAGGAAAGAGGCAAGATAAAAAGAATCAATACAAAATTACATAAAACACTATTACTCACTAATACATTCCAAATATTTTTAGAGAATATATTTGAGCTCAATTATCTGCATACTTGAAAGCAACAGGGAAGATAAGTGTAATGATTTCTACCACCTATACATGTTCTTATTCAAACATACATTATTAGAAACTTATGACCCAGGTTAAAAATGATTACTGAACATACGTCAGCCCTCTATCTTTTAAAAAAGAAAATTATTCTTGAAGGTCAATACAGTTATTCAGGAATAAAAACTATAATTCAATACCTTGCCAAGTAACATGGATCCATTTTCTTTTGGGCTTGCCAAATGCGAAAAGATCCCTTTATAAAAACCACAATATAATGGAGTGCTATAATTTCAAACAGTGTTTGGTCTGCTGGCAGAGTGGTCATTCTAATAGCAGTCACAGTAGAGTAGAAATAAGACTGCAGTATATCTAAGGCAAAAAGCTGAGGTTTCAGGAGCTTGAAGGTAAAGAGGAAGAAAGAAATGGGAATGGGAATTGGAAAGACAAATAAGGTTAAGAGAAAATTGCTTTTAGGAGAGGGGAAAGAATCTATGTGTACTTAAAACTATGGAATCAATCCCATTTAAGCTGGGAAACTAGTTTCAAATATAACTAATAAATTTTATTTACAGAATATATATTTACCTGATCTAGGCTTCAAGCCAAAGGGACTGTGTGAAAAAGCATCAGTTCTGTCATATTCCTAAAAAAAATTAAAACATTAAAAATAAATAATAAGACTTCTTGTCTTTCAAAATAATCAAGGTGCTTATTCATATTCATTTCAGTTTGGGGAAATACTTATTTTTCCTATGATCAGTGAAAAGTAACTTGCATTTCAATTCAAGTTGATACATTTCACTTTCAAGAGGTAATTAATATTTGCTAGTTGAGTTAACTATATAGGCTTTAAATGCTTTCCTCTCATAGTAGAAAGAAAGTGAAAATCATTAGTGAAGTGTATAAAAAAGATCATACTTTTTGAAAGAACCAGATTGAAGTTTCCCAAAAAAAAATGAAGTAAGCTTTTGTGAAAAGATAAGTGAATTTAGTATTTACTCAGTATCTACTATGGCCTTAAAACCTAACAGTAGATAATCTAAAGCCAAATATATCTGTACAGGGACTGCAGAATGATAGATGATAAATATTTGAATGAATATCGTTTCAAATGTTTCGCACACAGTGGTTTGCTGTGGAAAGATTTGTAGTACATTAGACAAATCTGAAGTTGGAGTTTAAAAGCTTAGGCTTTGTTTTGAGCACAACATACAATTTCTCTGTGATTGTTTCTTCATCTTTCAAATGAGATTACAGTGAACATTAAATGAGATAACTAAATGAAACTACTGTGTAAAGTGACAAAATAATGTAATCTTAGCAGCACCTTATTTAATCTGTGCAACAACTCTGTGAAGTGAGTAGAGCTCAGCTTCAGTCATTTCTCTGCCATTTATTAACTAAGATCGTTGGGAAAGTTATCCATCTCTTCAGCTGTAAAATGATGAGGATCATACCTATTTTATGGGGCTGCTTTTAGGTTCAAATTACAGGCAAGCACTTTGTTAACAGTAAAGCATTAACTACACTAATTGGTTTTACCATTTTCCAATCACACATGAAATTGATGCAATCAGAATTCTGTAGATTATTTAAATCTTCTGTTGATTAACATGTGATATGCAGTTCAAGTTAAATGTCAGCTGAATCACCAAAACACATACATACTCACCACCCTATCCAAACCTACAAGCCTCCCAGTTTGTCTTCACTATTTTGGTTAAATTGTTATAAATTCCTAGATGAAAATTTCACTTATCCAAATGAAATAAAAAATATAAAACTCACACCTGTAGTCTCAACATTTTGGGAGGCTGAGGCAGGTGGATCACTTGAGGCCAGGAGTTCAAGACCAGTCTGATCAACATGGTGAAACCCTGTCTCTACTAAAAATACAAAAATTAGCCAGGTGTGGTGGCATGTGCCTGTTGTCCCAGCTACTCGGGAGGCTGAGGCACAAGGATCACTTGAATGTGAGAGGTGGTGGTTGTAGTGACCTGAGATCATGCCACTACGCTCCAGCCTGTGAAACAGCATGAGATCATGACTCAACAAGAAAAAAGAAAAAAGAAAAAAAAAAAATATATATATATATATATATGTATAGCAATGTAAGTTATTTGAGAAATTTGGTATGAACAGTCTTCCCTGTGAGCACAGATCACAAAATCATAAATCAAGCAGACAAATAAGTAGTAGTCACTTATATGCTTACACTTGTAACTTAAAGTAAAAGAAAGGAATTATGAAAGCATATGACAAAGGCTAATTTTAAGATGTCCTAATTTAAACTGCTTTCTAAAAGTATGTCTACCATTTTACCTGTTACGTAAATAATTTAGACCCATGTTTATAAATTAATGTCCAAATCCACTTAAAAGTTTTGTAATGCAGATCACCCAAAACAACAGAGTAAGAATCCTAGCCTATTAAAAAAGCAACACCACCTACATATAATGAAATATTAATACCATCTATGTAACCAAAGTTACACAGTGAATTTGGGCCATCCAACACTTTGGTAAAGTGTTGAATTCATCAAATGAATGTGTAATCAGTTATTTACTAATGCCAATATACTTTAGAATAAGGTAATCTGAAGTAGAAGAGACAGAGCTTAGAATTTTTAAAATTTATCTCTTGTTATAAAGCAATGGACTTAAATAAATAAATAAATTAGAAGAACCAGTCATTCAAATCACCAGAGTATTTGATTGAAATGTCACAAACTCTAACTTTCTGATACCTATTCTCCCAAAAATGTGTAACCTCCTGTCGATAGGAACAACCCACTGCAGGGATGTTTCTCGTGGAAAAAGGAAATTTCTTTTGCATTGCTTTCAGACCTAACTGGTTACAAGAAAAACCAAAGGCCATTGCACAATGCTGAAGTACTTTTTTCAAATTAAAAAATCTGAAAGTTGCTCTTAAAATCAATCATTTATTTTAAAATATGGATGAATGAGAAAGCACAGATTTTCATAAACTGAATTCTTTTCTATGATCTACAGACACTTCCCAATAAGAAAATCATAAGTAAACAAGTGTTATTATCAATATTTTTACAAAAGATGGCATTCTTAGAATTTTTTATTGGCTAGAAGGTTTGCACAAACTAATCTGCCATGAATTTTAAAATATGGGTGAATAAATTACATTGCAAAAAAAATGAGATTAGAGAGAAGTGGCAAGGAAGAATCTCATGTAAAACACAGAAAACATACAAAACATTTTTAAAACACATAAAAACATATAAAAACAGAACTTGTACCTCAGATGATACTGGAGATTGTGGTGACATGTTAGCATTATCATTGTCTTGCTAAAACATAAAAATAAAAAGATGAACGATGAAATTACAATACAAATGATGATTTAAACATATAAAAGGAAAATAAAAATTGTTCTGATCAAATAGTAAAGGAAGAATCTGGAATATACCATCCAGCACACTGACACTCTACATGTGGTCTGTGAAACAGCAGCATAGGGATCCTCTGGGAGTTTAGGAATGCAGAATCTCAGGCCTCACCCAAGACCTAACTAATCAGAATCTACATTTCAATGAGACCCTTAGAGTGGCTTGAAATACAGTACTTTAAAGTTTGAAAAATATTATCTAAATATAAGAGCAGTGATGTGTTATAAATCTGAGACATGTAAATGAAGGCATGCAAAATCTCTACTACCCCAAATAACTTTCATCTGAAAATTTACATGTATCTAATATGGACTTATTGATAATTACAAAGAATTTAATTTAATAAAACATTAAATGGTCCATGATTTTTAAATGACTATTCTACTGCCAACCAATTATGAAAATTTTGACATTTAACTTTGAATATGCACTCCACATAGAACACTTATTCATTCATTCAACAAATGATTATTGGCTACCTACTATATGTCAGACACTATGCTAGACACTGAGAGTATTGAAATTTAGTAAAATATCACCCACTCAAGGACGTTTCAGTTGAGGAGGAAAATAGATTCACATATACAGATAATACAACACTCTCGGTATAATACAGCACTATGTATGGCATATTATGAGGCACAGATAAGGGGCACTTGGGGGAATGAGGAAGATGGCGGAGAAAGACAAGTTTCCTGAGAAAGTATAAATTCAGTAAAAAAACTGAGTGTTTACCAGAAAAAGAAAGAAGGGAACAATAAGATGAGAGAAGAACCAAAGCATGGAAGCAATAAATGTAAAGATGACTGCAGAAAACCTCTGAGTAGTTTTGTATTGCTGAAGGGTAAGGTGAAAGAAGAGCAAGTTTTGAATTAAGGTTGATATGGCAAGCAGAGGCTTGATAAAGGAGGATCTAGAATTTATCTTCTGAGTTGTGGGGAGAAATTAAAGGTTTCTAAGCAAGGGAATGGCCTGATTGTATCTGTGTTCTTTGAAACGACCACTCTGGCTACAGTGAGAATGGACTAGGGAAAGGGAGAAGGGAAAGGAAGCTATTGCAGTAGTACAGGCAAGAAATGGATAAGGGCCTCTGCCAGAGCATAAACAGTAGAAATAAAAGGGAAATGGATGCAGAATATTTTAGTACAAATAAATAAACCAACAGTAAGTCTTGGCTACTGATTAGATATTGTGAAGCAGGCAAGAGAAAAGCAGGTATGAGGAAATAAAGAAAATGAAATGTTTTCTGTCAAAGGCAGATGGCAAATATTTTAGGCTTTGTGACAACTACAGTAGTTCCCCATAATCCAAGAGGAACATGTTCCAAGAATCTCAGTGAATGCCTGAAACTGCAGATAGTACCAAACCCTATATAATATATGTGCTATGTTTTTTCCTATACATACATACCTATGATAAAGTTTAATTTATAAGTCAGATATGATATTAACATCAATAATTAATAATAAAATAGAACAATTATAACAATGTACTATAATAAAAGTTACGTAAATGTGGTTTCTCTCTAAGTATCTTATTGTACTGTACTCACCTAATTTTGGACTATGGTAGACCACAGGTAACTAAAACCTTGGAAAGTGAAATGGAGAATAAAGGAGGACTACTGTACTCAAAGTCTGCCACTGTAATGCAAAAGTAGCCATAGGCAAATGAGTATGACTGTTTTCTGATCAAATTTTACTTACAATCACATACAGTAGGCCAAATTTAGCCTCTGGGTCATAATTTGCCAGCCCCTGCTACAGCTGGATGATGGAAGATGATTCCATTAACTCAGTAGTTCTCAACCTTGGCTGGACATTAAACTCATATCGGAAACATTAAAAACTTCATTGCTCAGTCCATACCACATCATACCACATGCCAATTAAATTATAACACCTAGGGAGTGTGACCCAGGCGGCAGTGTTCTCTAAAGCTCACCTGGTAATTTTAGTGTACAGCCAAAGTTGAGAGCCACTGCACAAACTATTGCATATTAGTGAAAAAGTGGGTTTTGAAGCAAAAATTTTTAAAACTCAGTTTTGAACATATTTAGTCCTAGTGTGTTTAAGAGATATATCCAGCAGAAATTCTAAGCAGGTAGAAAAGACAGATAAAAGATTGCAAGGGTCTGAAACTCAGGGGAGAGGTCTGTACTAGAGACAAATCTGAGAGGCTTCAGCAGGTACACGGGTGTTATTCACTGAAGTCTTGAGAGCTGGTGAAGAAACGCTAGAGACCACACAGTGGGCCATTCTCTGGGAATAATATTTAAAGGGTAAGCTAGGATCTTGTGGAGCTGGTGCAATGGAAACCTGGCGCGGGGGTACAAGAACTGATTGTGTTCATGCACAGGTAAATATTACCAAACATACCCATATAATACATGTAATTCAGGCTTGATCTTAAATACTAACAGTGAAAATAGACCAGCTATAGCCATAACTGACTTTTATTAATCCCAGTAAATACTACCGGAGAGGCCATGGAGAGAAATCAGCATCTGAGCTGGGGGCAGACCAATCATCTGGCTCTATTCATTATTTTTCCCTGTGTGATTCTATATCCTAAAACTAAAGGCATTTTCAGAAGCCCTGCTAAGTACTCAACATGAAATGAAGTTTCAATCTCTCCAACCAAAAATACACGAAATTTAAGTATTTATGGTGATGAGAATATATCTTTTCAACAACAACAGGTTGCTGCATAGTTTGCACTGGTGCAGTAGAAAGGTTTATGGTAATGCACAAACTGTAGAAGTCTAATTTTAAATTTTAAAATAGTATGCATAATTTATGGAAGGAGTTCCTAAACAAAGTTCCTAAAAAAGAATCTCAATTGACAGCCAGGTTGATTTACAAAGATAAAATATGTGAAAGACAACACACTTACACTCATGGATTACAGGTCTAAGATGAATAATGATAAAATTCTAATGCTGAATTATTAGTAATTCCATTCTAAAGGACATATGGAAATTAAATGATTAAATTAATAATTGTATGATGATACACAGATGTTTTTATTGTTGGAAAAAACCCATGCATTAAATCAATAACAAACTGAAAAATCGATTGCATTTTATCCTCACTGAGCCAACTTCATATGATAATTAAACATTTCCAATAACTATTAATATTAACCTCTTTTCTTACCTCATCATTTTCATTGCCACTTGAACTCTTCCTCATTGATTTATACTGAAAAAAAATTTAAAACACATAATTTATTTCCTTTGAACATATAAATTCTCTAGTAAATTATGTACGAGGTTCTTTCATGTTTGGTAGCTTTATTAAATTACTTGATATCAAATTTAAGTATATAACAAGTGTAAAAATCGTCCTACCACTGATAACTAACAAATATAATGCTCTCCATGTGCAAGGCATTGTTATAAGTACTTTACACAGATCAAGTAACATTTCTTTCCTAAGCCAAACTATTTCCCATTCATTAAGGTGTGCAATCTGAGAGTTGTCTTAAAGTTTTCCTTTTCCTTAATTCAGTATATCCAATATGTCATCAAGTCAATTCTTTTTGTAATCTCTTTCAGACTTACCTCTTCAGAATTCTCACAACTACCACCCTTTTCCAGGCCCTTGTTATCTTACACCTGGTCTATAATCTCACCATTCTAAGATGTCATGTCATCTATTATTAAGACACCTACTGCTTTCAGGTGAAAAAACACTATATTAAATGTATCTATTAATTGTTTAATAATTATAATAATGATGAAAGTTAACGCTTGTATTAGTGCTTGCTATATGCCAGGCACTGAGTTAAATGTCTTTACATGTATTTACCCATTTAATCTTCTTAACAACCCTACTACATAAGAACTATGTTTATATGTGAAAAAATACTTTTTAGGATCAAGAAAATACAATATGACAATCACTGGAATTCTTACTTCTGATTCCTCTTCACTGCAAATGATCCTGCAAATCAGTGGCAGATTAACCTTCCATTTACAACTCATGGCTGTGCTGTTGAAAAACCTACTAATTTTCGGATTATGTCCAAACTTCTTTGCCTGGCATTCAAGGTTCTAATGGTCCCCTTTACATATGCAGCATTATCTTCCATAACCCTTGAAAAAACAGATAACTGACCTGATACCACAAACTGGGGGGTGAGCTGTATTAGGGATAATAAATACAAGACATATTGTTCCTCCACTATGTCTCCTATGACAACTATCACTAATCTAGCAGCAAGCTCTTTCCAGGTGATCTCATACAGAACCTCAATATGCCTTCAACCCAGCGTGCCCGAAAGCCACTGAATGAAATTGGCATGTGTGAAAAAATCCTATTTATCAGGCAAGACGATCACTGAAGTCACTTATTTTTTGTCTTAATCTATATGTCAATGAAACAGTGATATTTGAGTGAATATGGTAATATTTATTAAGTGGTTCCTCTGTGGCAAGCGTAATTCTAAGAACTTTTATTATTAAATAATTCAATAGTTATAACAATCACATGAAGGAAAGTACAGGCACATCTCATCTTATTGAGTTTTGCTTTACTGCACTTCACAGATACAATATTTTTCTTTTTACAAACTGAGGGTTTGTGGACACCTGAGGGTGGCCACCGAGCAGACCAGATTCTGCTCTCTCAAAAGCCTTACTCCACTTCTTTAGCAACCACATCCAACAAACCCGACATGGCTGGGATTGATAAATCTGATAAGTCAAAACTGAAGAAGATAAAAACACAAGAAAAAAAATCCACTGCCTTCCAAAGAAATGACCAAACAGGAGAAGCAAGCAGGCGAATCATAATGAGGTATACATAATGAAAATGAACTGTATATTGCACAAGCATTGTCTTCTTATTTTACTTCTTTTGACTGATTAACTTTGTAAGAAACAAAGAGGTTGGATCAAGTTTAAATTACTGTACTGCTCCTCTCACATCAAAGAATCAAGAGCTACTGAAAATGAAGACCGCTCCTGCCTCTCCCATCTGCCTGGCCGGCTTGCAGATAAGGAAAAGAATTTGAATGTTGGCGAAGCAGGGTGGAATGATAGTGAAAGCTAGAGTAAAACCAAGCTGGCCCAAGGTCTCTGGAAAGCTACAAAATTCAGTTTAACTAGAGTATCAATTTCTTTGCTCCAGTGATTTTATTTATTGAGATACATAATTTTTTATATGTGCAAATACAAAGTTTCAAAATCTGCAGAAAAAGTTTGTGGCAACCCTGTATCAAGCAAGTCTATTGGTACAATTTTTCCAATAGCACATACTCACTTCCTGTCTGTCAAATTTTGGGAATTTTCACAATATTTCAAACTTTTTCATTATTATCATATCTGTTATGGTGATCTGTGATCAGTGATCTTTGATGTTACTATTGCAATTTTTAAGGCGTGACTCAAACAACACCCATATAAGAAAGCAAACTTAATCAATGCATGTTGTGTGTGTTCTGACTGGTCCACTAACCAGTCCCTATCTCCTATTCCCTGACACACAACAATATGGTAATTAGGCCAATTAATAATCCCACAGTAGCCTCTAAGTGTTCAAGTGAAAGGAAGAATATGTCTTTCACTTTAAATAAAAACCTTGAAATGATTAAGGTTAGTGAGGAAGACAAGTAGAAAGCAGAGATAGGGTGAAGCTAGGCCTCTTGTTCCAATTAACTAAGCTGTGAATACAAGCAATTGTTGAAGAAAATTAAAAGTGCTACTCATTCCAGTGAACATAACAAAAATAAGAAAGTAAAACAGCCTTATTGCTGATATGGACAAAGTTTGAGTGGTCTGGATAGAATAGCAAACCAGCCACAACATTCCCTTAAGACAACGCCTAGTCCAGATCAAGGCCCTAATTCTCTTCAACCCTACGAAGTCAAGGTGACGAAGCTTCAGAAGAAAAGTTGGAAGCTGCAGAGGTTGGTTCATGAGATTGAAGGAAAGAAGCTGACTGTGTAACATAAAAGTGCAAGGTGAAGTAGCAAGTGCTGATGTAGAAGCTGAAGCAAGTTATACAGAAGATCTACCTAGCTAAGACAATTTTAAGGTGTCTACAGTAAACAACAAATCTATGTAGACGAAACAGCCTTCTATTGGAAGAATATGACATCTAGGACTATTGTATAGGGAGAAGTCAATGCCTGATTCAAAGCTTCAAAGCTTCAAAGAACAGGCTGACTCTTGTTAAGGGCTAATGCAGCTGCTGACTCTAAACTGAAGCCAATGTTCATGTAACCATTCCAAAAATCCTAGGGCCCTTAAGAATTATGCTAAGTCTATTCTTCCTGTGTTTTCTAAATAGAACCACAAAGCCTGGATGACAGCACATCTTTTTACAGCATGGTTTACTGAATGTGTTAAGCCCACTATCAAGCTCAGAAAAAGATTCCTTTCAAAACATTACTACTTATTTACAATAAGTCTGGTCAACCAAGAGTTCTGATGAAGATGTTCAAAGAGATCAATGCTGTTTTCATGCATAACATCCATGCTATAGTCCATGGATCAAGGAGTAATACCAACTTTCAAGTCTTACTATTTAAGTAATAACATATAAAGCTATTGTGGCCATAGATAGTGATTCTTCTGATGGGCCTTAGCAAAATAAACTGAAAACCTCTGCAAATGATTCATCATTCTAGATGCCGTTAAGAACATTTGTGATTTATGGGAGGAGGTCAAAATATCAACATTAACAAGAGTCTGGAAGAAATTCATTGCAATCTTCATGGATGATTTTGAAGGGCTCAAGACATCAGTGGAGGAAGTAACTGTAGATGAGGTGGAAACAGCAGGAGAACTAGAAG